TATTTATATCTCCATTTTATTTGAGTATGTTTAGTGATAAATTGTATAGAAATTGTACTTTGTGACTGACAGTTAACTGTAAGTTTTACACATAAAGACAAGATGAAGCTCCACCTGTTAACTGAGAATTTTTGACACATAAGCCAAACTGCAGAATCAATTTCTTACAAGTTTTGTAAACCGGCCCTGATCTCCAAGAAGTCATTCCTCTAGTGTGAAGTCTACCTACAGTACATGTAAATACAGCAGAGCATCACTGTATTCATACAAAACAGCCCCCCCTCCCCCCCCATGTACATGTTACCATTACACATATAGCACACCCACTCAGTACAAGAATATGATATTATTAATAATCATAATAATAATAATAATAATAACACTATAAGGTAACTTTACTAACATTTCCCTCCCTTCTGGTTGCAGACTGACTCCAATCATGTCGCCCAACCCTCCGTTAGCCTCATCCGTTTGACTGACGGGCTGTGGCGCTCATCCTGATTAGGCAAAGGTCGGAGAAGGAAGCTGTCGTTGCCGTGGTGATCGTCACGGTCCTCGCTGCCTTCGTACGAGCTCCCGCAGCTGGATGCGCTGTCGCCGGGGGAGCGGCCCGGTTCGTGGGGACCCCTGCCGGCGATGGAGTATCCAGCCGTGGTGACGCCTCCTCCAAGTCCCACGCCCATCATGCCAACGCTCCGGTCTCTGGGAGGGGATGCTGGCTCAGACTTGATGTGGAGGTTCTGATGGCTGGAGGGTAGGTTGAGGTTCGAGTTCTGGCACAAGTTCCTTTAAATGAGAGCAAGTTACAGGAATGTGCAGAAAATTTTAATGACATTTTGAGAAAATCTTCACAAGACAATTTGAACTTGTGCGCATTTCCATCCTCTACCTTACATGAATATACAGTATATAACAGAAGTGAGTACACCTCTGTACAATATCATTTCTGTGTCAAATGATGCAAAACTGTATCGTCTACAGTTGAACAGTGGGGTGTTTGCTCTGATGTAAAATAAAAACACTTTAGATTTACTTAATTAAAAAATATAGGTCCTGCAGTAGCAGCACAATGCAACAAAAGTCAGTTGAACTTTCTTTACAGAAATTTGAATCTTTGAATTTTTCAATAACTCGTATGTCCACCTTTATGTTTTATGACAGACTCAATCCTCATCAGCATGGAGGATAACACATTTCTGGAGAGATGTTCTGCTTACTAATGTTTGCAACTACAGAATATTTTCATTATCAGTGGTTTTTATTTTATTGATAATTGTTTGACCCACAAAACATGTCAGTGGTGGAGGAGTTCTGGAGTTAGTTAACAGTTGCCTGTCATGGGTTCTGAGGCCTGATAAGATATATAGCAGCCACTCACCCCATGTGTCCGAGCGCAGAATGCTGTAGATTCTGTATCTGCTGCTGCTGCCAGCTTGTCACTGATCCGAGACCAGAACTTCCAAACCCAGACAGAGAGGACAGGTCGGTGCCGAGGGAGAACTCTGAGAATGAACCAGACGGTTGCTGTGATTCTATCCTGTGGGAGCCTCTCGTTTGTTGCCAAGCAGTGGTAAACTTTTGTCGTACTCACCTGTGCCGTAGGAGGAGGACAGTGCAGAAGGATAACCGCCCATCCCCTGACCAGGCACCGTGGCAGCAGAGAGAGAGACTGCAGGAGTGGACAGCGTCTGAGCGGTCTGGGAGTGATTTATTCTCTGGTTCTGTAAAGAGAAGAAGAATCTATCAGACATTGCTGTACAGAAAAAAAGTCCAAATTCTCTGATTGTAGCCTCCTAAATGTAAAGACTTGTGAATATTTTAGACCAGTTTTTGGTCATTTAAAAAACTAATTGATTCATTAACAAAACAAACAACAATGGAAATAATCGTTCGCTGCAGGCCTAGAGCACATGTTCAGCCTAATGCCTAATGATACCTGCTGTCAAACAAAGTGTCCTTAAATCCAGTTAACCTCTTTCTGCGGCAGTTATTTTAGGTTGCCTAATGTCCCATTCCTCTGTCTAATGAGTTGCAGTTAATGGCTTTAACTGAAAAAACATAAATCACTAAATTATTTTGTTTCTGCAAAACATAGGACACAGTTCTGACCACCTCTGATTTCATTAAACATTTAATTGGCATGCATTCAGGGTACTTCTTGGTGGTAAAAGAAGAGTTTAAATGGCCTCTGGGAGTGTTTGGAATATCATTTGTTAATTTCAATACAACAGTATCTTTTATAAACGTCCAATTTCACATATTTGTAGCATATAAGTTACTAATAATTCTGAAAGCTGTATTTGTATGATACAGCTAATTATTTCTAGTAAATTTTCCACATGTTAACAGACTCCAGTGTCCACTGACTCCAGGGACACTGCTGCAGAAAAAAGGTTAAACTGATTCTGTGTCAGCATCTGACCAGTGCAGCCTCCTCCTTCAGCACAACATACCTGACAATAAAATCTGAGATCTACTTACCAACATGAGGTCAAAGTCCTCACACTGCAGGGCAGCGTTAAAGCACAAACTAAAATTAGTCTTTGTGCTTAATAATGCACTTATGAAATAAAAATAAAGTAGAACTTAGAGGGAAACACTCACAACAGTCGGCATGTTGTTGCACTTGTTGGAGGGCGGCATCAGTGTTCGCAGGTCGGGTTTGCGGCTCATGCTCATTGAAGGAGGACTCTTGTCCTGCATGTTCTTGGAGACTCCTGCTGGAGACATCAGGCCGGGGGAGCTGCAGTGGTTGTAGCTGCCATTTCCTACAGAAAGACAAAGTTTAAATGCAGCTTTTATTATAAATGAACACAACTGTACTTGCTATTAGACACTGAAATGGGTTTAATAAAAATTATTTCAGGGTCTTAACCTTAGTATACATTGATCTTATTTCTCTGATAGAAAGCACTTTGGCTCAATGTCTGTTAATAAATTGTTATTTATCCAATTTCATCAAGCTTCTCTATCTTTTTGTTTTCAGATTTTAAATTATTCTCTTCATATTTTATTTAATTTATAAATCTGTCTTATCTCAGAATTTATGTTCTGATTGGGTGAAAGCAATGATTGCGTGCCTTTAATTTATTCATGATCACCTCTGGTATAAGGTCCTTACAGGACACATTGTTCATCAATGTTGGACATTTGATGGTTGTGCGACTGGAGAGACAGTGTCTCTGGCTTTAGTGTTTGATAGTGTTGATGACCTTGTTGTCTCTCTTGTAAGAATCATGTTTTTGTGACAACAGTTTTCGAATCAACTAAAAAAGTTGAAGTATAAGTTGTGAGATGGCATTTTTTCCGCTTTTCTGCTGAATAACAAGGCCTTTAACTGGTCTGTCATCGTCTAATTTGTCGACTGGAGGAATATGAAGAACTTGAGTCCTACCGACACTGGAGACCACAGTGCTGGGCAGCTCTGAACCCATCAGACCTGCAGAAAACAAGCAAAGTTGGCACTGCAGTTCAAATGAAATGTCAATAAATTAAAAATACTAAAGGTAAAATGTAAAATAAGTGATTGCATAAGTATTCACCCGGTTCCACTCAGTATTTAATAGAGGCAATGATGGTGATGTACCTGCGTTCCCAGTGCTGGAGGGCCGCTGAGGGGACAGGCTGTTTCTCTGCAGGGAGGAGTGTGACATGGGCAGCACGTTGTGGTTGCCCAGACCCCCCCCAATGCCCTGGTGGGAGTACAGCAGCCCACCGGGGTTGCCACCGGGAAGGGACACCCCCATGTCATAGCTGGATGGAGGCAGACCCTGCTGGACCAACAGGAGGACTTGATGAGGCGAGGTGCAACCAAACTACACATCACTAACAGAGCAGAGGTGAACTTACACAGAGTCTCTGCCTGTTAATCATCAGGTCGATGTCTTCGTTGATTTTGCGGTACTTGTCGTCCGACTCTGGGCTCTGGCCAGCAGAGTCGTCGGCCTCGATGTCGGGGCTGTCACAGCCGTTTAAACCCTTCTTACGCAGCGTCTGTTAGAAGACAAGACAAACACATCTGGATGAGTCACTGAGTATAACTTCTATTTTTACTGATGTTTGCTTCACAATCTCACACGTGTAGAAATAACAAGCACGAGTTTTTTTTAAAAGATGATTGATTATTAGTTAAGGATATATTTGGAACTGATAAACATTTACAGCGAAAATGAAAATCTTAATTAAAATTTAGAAAAACAACCAAATCTGAAGAAAAGTTCCCATCTGACCCCATAAAAATAAGCTGTTTCTTAACAACTTCGGTAGATTACATGAAGCAATGCAAAATTTTACTTTCATACCAGGTACAGGTGCTGAAGGTACAAAGTAAAAAAATGCATAGCTTTCAAATTTACTGTTCCAGCATTTTTGAGCCTTCACGACTTCCCAAGTACAGGACATAGACACATGGCATTTTCAGGACTGAAAAAATAACTTATCAATAAACTAGATATAAATAAATAAATAAATAATTTTCCAGTGTTGGTATCCCCTGTGGGCAGACTGACTCCAGCTCTCTTCAATACTTGTAAAAATATGTTATTCTTCTTTTTTAATGATTTTTTTATAATGGAGTTCAAAGTTATTTCTGAGTTTTCTGTACTTCTAGTCATGGTTGTGCTGTTTCCATAGAGTTGCAGTAAATAAAGAAAGAGCCCACAAAAAATAACAATGAGACAGGTGCAAATAAAACACATAGAGACTGCTTGGAGTTCAGAGGGTTAAATTAAAAAAGAAGCAGTGCTGACCACAGGAGGGCGCCATCTGAGCAGGGATCCACCACAGAGACTCCACAAACCAGAAGTTACTCAGACAGAACCCAACTAGACCTGAAAATTTTTTTTGAGTGAAGTTCAATAGGCCGATCAAAAAGTCACTCATGTTCCTCTGACTTTTTTTTCTTTTCATGTGTAAAAGCGAGCATCAGATCAGTCACGTGTGTTGTGTGTGTGACTTGAACACTGTCAGTGTTGTGAAATCGTTCCTCGCTCAGGTATCGGATGATATGACGGTGTGTGTTGTACAGTATGTGGTTTGGCTCTGAGTAACCTGCTTCAGCACTTCACAGCCCATTAGTCCCGTCTGTCACTGCACAACGGCGGCGCTATCACTCGGCAGTCAGACCAGCACAGCTATCCCACTCATCCCAGTCATGTCCACCTGTTTTGCTTTAGAGGGGAGGAGGGTGAGGCAGCTACCACCAATGCTGGCGTGGCTGCCGGAGGGATTGGCCGTAGAAGGCTATTTTTTGCTCCTGTGTGCCGCAGAGTTTCTCGTCACTCCCATCCCTCCCTCGCAATCTGTCAATCTGGCTGCTCTATTAAAACATAAGAGCGAATCCACTAGCCTACTTTCCCCTCTTCAAACACACACAGAGTACACAGTGTTACGACACAAACACAGTCCTTCTTCAATTGAAACGTGCTGTAGCCAGGTGGAACAAGTACTCAGATCATGTACTCTAAAGCAGCAAATACTCCATTACAGGTAAAACTCCTGCATTGAGAAGTTTTGTAGTATTATTAACAAGATGTACTCAAAGTCTCTAGTCTCAAGATAATTTCACTACTTTTACAGTTAAGCTCTTAACTTGGTCATTCAAAGGACTAGCCATACAGGCTGTACTAGTCTATACTATCCAGATCTTACATCATTTCATATTATAATAGTAGCAGGTTTTGTTTTTTTTGTTTTTTTAAGACTTAATATCAAGGAAAAAATATTTGGAAATTGCTCTTTTTACATGTACCTCACAATGAAAATCAATCAGTGCCTCCCACTCGACTCTCTTAAATTCAGCTGACTTTTTTTGTTCAATAATTTTAGTTTATTTAATGAAATCCTGCAAAATTTTACCTTCATACTATGAATATGTACCATTTTTAATAAACTTTTTCAGCATGTTTGGAGTCCTCATAACTCCATAACTGCAGCAGATAAACATTCAGTTCTCAGGGTTGAAAGACAAAGAGCTCTGGTAAAAACTGCAACCAAAACAGGTGTCACAATCTAAAGCTGAAATCTGTTGGATGCACAATTTTTTCTATAACCAACCTTGAGCATCAGAATCAAAATACACGATATGTATGACACAGTGTCAGAGAAACAGCCATCGAATGTGTTATCTGTTAAGCGTCTTATCACCATGTGTGAGAGGTGGTTGGTCAAAACAAGTTGTAGTAAATTAAAGGTCTCATTTGTACCTACATTTCCATGTCAGGCTCATATAGTCATGATTCCTTCTGTGTAAAAGCAGTTGTTACATTTGAACACTAGTTACATTTGAACACTGGTGAATGTAGCTTCTGTCTGTGAAATGGAATAACAACAGTGGTGTTCACATGTTGTATATGGTAGTTTGGACAAATCACAGTAATCAAACCAGTTTGGAGCATTCAAGTGTTTGAGAGTCTTTTGAATTCTCCTCTGATGGTGTTCAGTTCTTAGTCTGTCAGTTTGTTCTGTTGATGAGTTTTCTGTCCTCAGACTGTGGACAACAGTGATGATGTGTGATCTCCAACACGTGACATGATTGTGCATGAAAATGCCTATACTAGAATACCAATACTCCATGTCATAGACATTAAGACAGTCTGCTACTTCGACCATGATGATCCATGATTTATGAAGGGGAGATTGTCTGTGATGAATATTTTGAATTTTTGAACTTTTAGTCACACTAAAACATTAACATGTCTGAAGACACCAAATTTGGTTTTATAAAGTTGTGATGGATGTATTTTTGGTATTTTTTAGCACTTTTCCTTTCAACCACTGAGCCTCACAATGTCCTCTACACAGTTATGAAAAGTTATCTATCCTGCCATCATTTTATGGTGACTCGTGGAACAACTACATTTTCACAATCTTTTTCCCTAATATTAAGGCTGATGATCTTATCATATGAAATGATGCAAGATCTGGATAGCTGAGACTGAGAAAACAAGACGCAGCAGGTATATTTTGTCTGTATAATGGCAAAGACAAGAGCTTAAAGGTAAAGTTAGCTAAATTAGCTTGAAAATAGCCTCACAGAGCTCACTGGGTTGTTTGTTCTTAAGGGCATCCATAGAAGTATTTGGTCTGAAGTGGACATCATTTACTGTTTTGGCCTGTTTGTTTCACAGTTAACTAGTACATTTTTAAAAATGATCTGTGATTTTGGGCTGCCATCACTGTGGGATATTTCAGTAAAAAGAAAAAGAATGGTGTCACAGCAGCAGCATAAAAATGGAAATACTCGAGTATTCGGCTGTCAGTTACTCCCAACCACAGAGCAGGAGAGTGTCGGGGTGGCTGTGTGAGGCGGCAGGTGGTTTGAATAGATTCTTGTCGAGACAGAGAGGGAGGGGGGAGACAGCTGAGGAAGTGGGGGGAGGGAGGATGCCATAATATCATACCAGCCTCCCCCCTCCTCGTCATCCAAGATCCATTCATTCCTCCTCCTCCTCCTCCTCCTCCTCAAGCCTCGCCGCGTTGCTTTTCCATCGATTTTGTTTTCTCTTTTTAGCTTCAGTTACTTCCACCTCTCTCCTTGACAAGAGTGGTCTCCTTCTCGTCCACATCACACGATGCTCTCAGTGCTTCTCTAATGGAGAGTGCGTGCCAGGCAACATGACACGCAGCTTTTACAACAACCCGCTGCTAACCTACTGCTCAGGCCGCACATCAACCAAAATTACCATTTATCAGCCCCACATTATGTGCACAGACACAAGATAAAGCTGGAACGCTTCCGTTTTCCTGCTCATTTCCAGGAAACTTTCCTCAAAGTCTCCTAAACATTAGCTGCTGTAAACTTCAAACAGAATTCCTAAAAAGTCCCACAGAGCAGCTTGGTCCTACGTAAGAGGTAAAAATAACAATAACGACTGCAATCATTTTTATCAGCAGGACTTGTTGTGTCTACTCTTGACGATATTTTGTGAATCAGCCCCAAAATCCACCACCACATTTAAAAGACATCTTCTCTTTAATAAAAAAAATAAAAATCAACAAAATGAGACCATTTATCAGCTTGAAACTTCAAAAAAAAAAAAAGAGAGAGAGAGAAACAATAATCACTGGATGTTCAACTTTGTGATAGTCCTTGAACTACTCATGTGTGAAGTGCAGATTGGTCAGTAAACTTTATCAAATCTGAACTTTAAAATTCCTAACAAAATACATTCCTTTAAACTGAAACAAACAAACAAAAAAAGAACATCCATCAGCTGACACCAACAGTCACGTAACAAAAATCCAGGGAGTTTTTGGAGGCTGTGTTTACACAGAACAGTAAGGAGACAAGAAGAGAGACTGAGAGGAAAATCAAACATACTGAATCAATAAAATAAAAGCAGCATTACTGGAGAATAGTATACAGTTGTTGAAAGATACATTCAGCATGGTGAAATATCTCCTGAAGCTGAAGCTGAGCAGAGTGTAGAAAGGTTTGCAGAGGTTGTAAAAATGTAAAGAGTGAAATCTCTATAGTATGTATAGCCTCCATGTTTTGTCTGTGTTGGTAAAACCTGTGGACACTGATAACAGGTTTTGTCAAACTTAGTCAGTTACATAAGCAAATCAAAATAAAAGCTTTTTTCTTTATATGCACATATATATATATATATAATTTAGGGCTTCCTAACTGTGATATACTGCACAGAGGACACTTCTGAGTTCTCTCTACTTCTAGCCATGGTTGCTGTTTCCATTGAAGTGCAGGACTTTGTCGTGCAGTTCAAAATGAGCCCACTTTCATACCAATATTTTTGTGCTTTTATTAACTGACATTGTTTTAGTAAAGCTTGAACTTTTAACAGAGCATCGCTACACTCATGTGTTGCCATTTTTACTTAAGAGTGTTTTTCACTCTTAAGTAAACACTTTATTAGGACCGATTAATTTTATATGAACATGTTTTTACATGTTTACTCATGGTCAGAATCTAACTAAACTGGTCAGAAAAGGAAAAAGGAAGGAGGGAAGAGGCGGAGGAGGTTGTGGGTTAC